AGGTAATGCCGGACTCCTACCGGCTAAAACCCCACGGTGGTTACCATCAGCGTATAAGATGGGTCCCGGGATCTCCATTCGGAACGCAACCGGGGCCCCTCCATCGCTTTGCTACACTAATAGCAGTAGCAAGTCCCAGGGGCACTAATTTCTGCCCACAGCACCCTCGCAGTGCTTCCACGATGTCTCGAGACCACTTCCGAGACATCGTCCTCCTCGGGGGTTACATAACTAGGCGCTCGAGGCCCCCGCCCCGAGCGTCTGCAACCCCGGAGGCCCCGTTTCTGGTAGGGGAACACCGTTTTCAAGAGGAGGGCCGTGACGAACGCCTTGGTGACGTCGTCTCCGCGCGGGATCCGCCCTCTCCCGATCCCGCTCAGAAGCCTCCTTCTGAATCATAACAGATTCACAGAAGGTGGCTACGGCCCTCCACGCCGAATCCCCGCTCAGCACAGCCGAAACAACTGCTGGCAGGGAGAGGTCCTGTCCGATGTGGTTTACCAGGATTGTTCGTTCCCGTTCCCACGCTGGGCATACTGCGAGTGTGTGGGAAGCGGAGTCCTGGCCCCGTCCACCACAAGGGAAGCAGTCTGCCGTTGCCTCACGTCCAATCCTACACAGATAATCACTGAAGCACCCATGCCCGGTAATTATCTGAGTAAGTCTGTAGGTGAGTCTTCCTGCTCGTCGCTGCATCCAGGCTTCCAAGACCAGCAGGATTGCTTCAATGACGCGTCTGCGTTCATAGCGCTCCTCGAGTCGAGAGCGCCATGACGCCAGAGCGTTTTGTCGCTCCTGCCGTTTAATTGATTCGAGCGCCTCTTCTGGCTCACTACCACCACTCTGGCAAAGGGCACGGATTCGAACGTACACCCTCGCGTCCATTTCCGCCAGTATATCTAGTGGTGGAAAGCGAGCTAGGATTGTCGCCTCCTCAAAGGATATTGTGCGGTATCCTCGTACGATCCATATGGCCATCCTCCGCAGAACACTGTAGATTTTAGTTCTACAGCGCCGGATGGACAGCCTTTTTGCCCATATAGGCGCTCCATATAGAGCTACGGATCGTATAACTCCCGCATAGAGGCGACGTACTTCCTCTGTCGGTCCCCCTAGATTGGGCAGCAGTCTATGCATAGCACCCGCTACCCTTTCGATCCGGGGGACTAGGCGCTCGAAATGTTCTTCGAAGCCCCAGCGACTGTCCAGGTGGAGGCCTAGGTACTTCATATACCTCCCCACTCTGACTTCAGACCCACCCACGCGAATACATGAGTCGGGTGGTTCCCTGCTCCTTGGTAATTTATGGAACCATAGGGCCTCGGTCTTGTGAAGCGCTATTTCTAATCCCAACTCGTGTATTTTGGCAACGACGACTTCCGCCCCGAGTTCGGCGAGCTCCTTGGCCCTCTCGAAAGTGATCCCGCTGGCGATCACCAATGTGTCGTCAGCATAGCAGACGATATCTACACCAGCGGGAAGATCGATTCGCAGAACCGCATCATAGGCGAGATTCCACAGTAGCGGCCCCATCACCGAGCCCTGTGGAACCCTACGTTTCATCTCCCTCCGGATCTTCCTGCCATCTTGCCCCATGTACAGAATGTACCTGTCGCGCAAGTAGTCCCCGATAATACCTTGCAGGTAACGGGGCACCTGATGATGTGCCAGTGCCCTCTTGATTGCATCCCAGGGTAGGGAGTTAAAGGCGTTTACGATATCAAGACTTACCGCCAACGCCACGCCACCCTGGGATATTGCTTGTTCCGACAGGGAGCGGACGCGCATAATCGCATCTATAGTGGAACGCTCCCGTCGGAACCCAAACTGGCTATCGGCCAAATCGGGACCGACACGCGACAGATGCCTATTAAGCCGACCGGCAACTATCCTCTCGAATGATTTGCCAATCTCGTCCAACAGGCATATGGGGCGGTACGCAGAGGGAGAATCAGCGGCCCTGCCCTCCTTCTTCAAGAGGACCAGCCTTGCTTCTTTCCAGGCTGTGGGGAACGTGGCACAGCGCAGACACATGGTAAACAGCTGCCTGAGCCTGTCCCCCAGGGCAGCCAGACTCAGCACTAGGGCCCGGCCCGGGATTCCATCGGGCCCCGGTGGTGTATTCCAGACTTTTAAGCGGCTAACGGTTCGGTCCAGTTCTTCGACGGTCACCCCCATCTCATCCTGCCACTCCCATGAAGACGGTAGGTGACCTGAGGGACTTGACCGGTCTTCTGGAAAGAGCATGCTGATCACCCTTCCCAGCAGATCCGGATCGAGTCTCCGTCAAGGGGGGCGACCAAGGCCGGAGCTTACCCAGTACCATCCTGTATGGACGCTCCCAGGGATCCTCGTTGAGTCTCCAGAAGCTCTTTCCAGGACCGAGACCTGGCATTGGCTATAGCAATTTGAAGCGCCTTTGTAGCCGCTCGGTATGCCCCGTAGAGTCTGGCTACCTCCTCAGGTGGAGCTCGCCTTCTTCTCCTTCGAGATCTAATTAACATACACATAATTGTGGAAGTTTAAATTGAGCCAACTGTTGAAATAACAGTTCGTTGTAGTTGGGTTCAAAAGCAATGTTTGCCACAAATATGTTTTAACATGTGAATCTTTTCAATTGGTGCATGTGCCAGCTATTTCACCTAATGCTTGCATCTGAAAAAAATAATATAAATAAAATCACATTTTTATTGAACAAATAGAATGTCCGATAGTCACAATTGACTGTGTAGTTTCTAAGTATAGTTCGTTTCGGATTGCCCAGGATTGCCATTCCATCGAACTATCAGATTTAGGAAATAGTGTTTGTATTTGTGCACACAATCGTACACTATAAAAACCTGTCCTACGTAGATGGCTAATCCAAAAATGTACTAGCGTTAAATATCATATTACTATTAAAGTTGAAATCACCACATACCTTTCATCACCTAAGGGAAATATTGCTACAAATATCCTTTTCTTGTTATCATTTTTCCGCTTCTTGTACCATTTATTTTGAAAGTTTTGTAATGCTTATTTAATTTTTTAACAATTCTGTAAATGAACAACGGCTCCTATAGCAAAATTAAAAGCAATCTTAATAAATAAAATATATACAAAAAAGTCATGTGATATCTCCAACTGAACTGATGAATCATCGTTAGCTTTATGTAAAAGGGAGCTACTTGGGTAAAATAATAAATTGTGACTGTAAATAGAAAAATAATGGAGCTAAAAATTTAAACCTCAAAAAATATTTTTCATTTGGTCATAACTTTTTACTGAATTTGCATAATGAAAGTTACTGTCTATTAAGCGGACTATTCGTTAACTTAGGTCTGGTTAGTGGTGGACATTTGGACCAAGCTCCATACAATTTTGGTAAAATTTTTTTTCTCCTTTCCTTCAATATAAAATAAAAACTAACCGCACTGGAGAATGTCCATTTTTTGCAACTATGTGACTCTCTCATTTCCCTTTGTCATGTTCAAATTGTCATTATTGAAATGCACACTTTTCTACATGTAATCAACTTACCTTAATCTAGCGCGCTTGAGTTATTTTAACGATCTATTTTTTTACTAATCTGATCGGCTGCCCTAAATGCTCGATCCTATACAAATAGCTCAGGTTTGGTGGGAGTAATCAACGGGGTGCAAGGTTCTCCCCCTCTTGTGAAATTCTGCCGCGCGTGAGTAAACCCAAAACCCTCGCTTGGGCTCTTCTACTATTAGGTACTACTTTTTTAATGAATATATACCGCTAAAAATTAAGAATTTCCTCCGTGGTCGTGTTGGAAATTACGACAAGTTTGTAGAACTGTTTTGATGAATTTGGTACGGGACACTAAAATTCCAAGAAGACGTAGGTAACAAATGAGATAATATTAAATATTATTTAGATATTAGACATTAGAGAACAAATTAAAACAAAGTTTCGAAATAGCTATTGCTTTATTGTTTAAATAACAATGCCACTTGAAAGTTTTATACAAAAAGTAATAAGGACAAGTCTTGTCATTTCCAAAACGTTTGGGAATTAACTGAATATGATAATTAAACACTGCCAAGCTCACTTTGATTGATTCGACGCCACTTTAACAACGGTCTGTACAACCATCTACTGGATAGTCTGCGGTCTTACAATACCTAGTTATGATCAAACAGTTCTCATTTGACTTGGTACTTAAGAAATGTATACTTTAAAACAGAAAAATATCAATAATAAATTGAACAATAATTCCAAGATAAGCGTATTAGTGAGTGGTATTCTCATTCTGCGTAAAGCATACGAAACAGTTACTGGCTTATTACAAAACATGGTTTATCGATAGTCTTAGATTTAAATGTGGATTAAGAATAGTCCTTCTTACTAAAGTCCCTTAGACACGGCGCTATCTTCGCGAAATTTGACATTTTGCTGTCAAGTTTCATACTTAACATTTTACCGCGAGACTCCTTTCGTGAAATAGATTTTAATTCAAATCTCAGACTAAATCCAAACTACTTTTTGTAATATGACCGGTTAATGATTAAAGGTACTTAAGGGTTTCCTACAATGAAGATATTTTTGCGGATTCTTTCATTTATTTGTTTAACATGCAACGTAGTATATTAACTGTCTAAGAATGGTGCATATAGGATGACTGTATATTGGTATTCCATTTCATATCAGATAAATAGATATAAAAAATAATAGTTTCATTGCCGATGATCTAACACTTAGCAAGCAACTGTAACCTTAATAACTATGACGCCGTCTATATTAATGTATTCAGATAAACAAAATTATCAACTTGGCAGGTGAGTATAAAATCAAAAATGTCAAAACTTCTTTTGCTATAGTAACAAATAAAAAGTAAATTTTTGAAGACTTGTCCGTTGGTTTGGAAATCTAAGTGTTAACACAAGCTAACTGGTAAGTTCAGGTTTTACAGTTTTAATATTCTTTACAACAATGCACGATGAGTACAAAATTATTCACAAACAAGAGCGTAGATAAATACAGGTTTAGTTGATTTAATACACTTTTAGTTGATTCTTGTCATCAAAACCGGCCGAGTGGCCCGCGTTGCGCACTATAAAGGAGTTGCCGTCGAAATGCATACGCCGTTCTCCACGACTGTTGACAAATGCGTAAAATAAATAAATATGGTCAAATGAACATAAATCGGGTGATATTGTGGGAACAGAATGCTTGGGGGGTGTTCGTAGAACGAAGTGACCACTCCTCAACGACGCCGTCATTGGCCAGATGGTTAAACAACCGTCGTAATTCTCTACCGCCTAGTCAGATTACAGAAAGTTCTTTGTTTTGGTACCCCCTACACGGCCAATGATAGTCATTAGAGCCAATCTTGACTGTACAGTTAGAGAATTTTTTTAACAGTTTATTGGCAATGGAGTATTGCCGTTTGTCATCTACATATGTGAGTGAATGACGGATGCCGTAAACTGAATTAGGTTACGTAGGCGTATCTTCCAGTGATTTTGTGAGTCAGATCTGGTTTTGCCACTCTCTAAACCTACTCAGCATTTTACTTGTGAGATCGAGGAGTGGATTTCAGCTTCGAAAAGGAGGGACCACTGAAATGGCCTACCCTTTCTAAATATTATACGTGGTAGGGTCAAGCTGCAGTTATATTGTGGTTGCAGCACGAATGGGTCGGCTCGGTCGTGGTCGGTAGGACCACACTCTCATAGAATACCAGCGTAAAATAGCAGCTTAATGCTGCTATGTTTTGTACGGTGAGTTTAGAGAACCGGAGACCCTTTTTACTGGAAACGAGGCACTCTATCTCAGTCCTCAGGGGTGACAACGCATCTGCATTTTAATTCTTAGTTGACGATAAATGTAGATGTCTATGGGCCGCAGCATTCACTTGCTATCGGGTGGTGGAATATGTGCTCGTTTGTCACTCTTATTCTATAAAAAAATATCTATCAAATTGTTGGTTGCCTGTAGTATTTAAGAGCCTTTTGTCGGGCGTGAATAAAATCCGAAGTCGGTTAAGTCATGTCTCCTGTCCTTGTATCTCATACTCTGACTAAACTTAATACGCTGAACAGGAAAGTCCACATTTTTATGATGGCACACAATAAAATTCCGAGACAGTCGATAATGAGACTGTACTTGCCGCGTAAGCATGGTGTGCGTATCTTTTTGAGCTTCCTCACCATGAACAATCGCAAATTGTGCAGCCTCCGTAATTACTGCTTTAACAAAATCAGATGAGTTATTCTACAAAGACCCCACCCATTACGTGTTATAAATAACTTTCGCCTCTATGTTTAGTTAACATGCAATGAAAAGAAATGCAGTCCAGAGTGTTTTCAACCGGGAGGCGGTATAGGAAATGAAAGAGCTCCACGGGAGGTTTTACAAGACTTCACGAGTTTTTCGTAGTCACAGTCCCCACCCTCCACTTGTTAGGTTCGGTGAACTCTTTAGGAAAACCGAGGGGTTTGCCTGTCTAGGCATGTAAATTCTAGTTGTACGGCGCTTTCTTAGTCTAAGTATATGCACAGATACAACCTAGGAGCCAGAATCTTACACAAAGAGCTCACTTTAAAGGTAAGGTTTCATATATTAAAAACTGTCCTATTATCTTGCTAGAAGCCGTGCTCGTAAATGATCGCGCTAGGGCTCTATTGGGACCGATACCACAGATAGGAACCATTCTCGCGAATAAGCTTGATATTGTGTTGGTGGACCGGGTATAGTCAAGGATATTTTTTGTCGACTTTATCCTTCCGTATGACGAGAACCTCGTGAAACCGAAACAGATAAGAAAAAGAAAATACTTGGATTTGACTCATGGGTTGACCAACATGTGGGGTAGTATGCTCATCGAAATTATTCCTGTATCTGTTTCTACGAACGGGTTACTACCGCTAGGAGCTCAAATGCTGAAGACACTGTTCCTCAATACCGCTCGCAAAGTCCACCGGTTTTTTCCCTTTCCGCGATTACTCTACTAATAATAATAAAAATACTATATAATATATATATCGAAGGCCTTTGACAGATTTTGGCATGCTACCCTTTTGGGTAAGACTCCTCAAAGGTCCATTCTCTCCGCAACTCTCTTTATTCTGCATATTAATGATCTGTTTATGCCCTGTATCTATGGGTATGCCGACGATAGCAGAGTTGTGGCGAGATACCAACAAGTCCACGGATCAAATGCTCTCCGAAAGAGAAGCTATGATAGAGTGTGTGAATCTCACACTACAGGCAGTCTCCGAATGGGGCGATGCCGACCTTATGAAAATCAACACCTCCAAAGCACAAGCGTATCTCTACACTGCAAAAAGAAGCCAGCTCACCATGGCTCCTTCTTTCTGAAATGTATTACTGGAATACACCGACCGCCTTCAGTTGGAGGTTGAGATATCCTCAAACCTGAATCTCGGGCGGTTCATTAGGTCTAAGGTCAAAAGATGCGGCGATACTTCACGCCGGGGCAACTGTATATGAAGCGCAAGCATTGCTGGCATATATGGGCTGGTGCTGCAAAATACCACCTAGCGGCTTTGGACTCAATGGAAAGGCGTGCTATGAGGCTTATTGGTGACCCAAATTTGATTAAACCCAATCTTACCAGGCTCTAACACAGACGCGAAGTAGCCAGCCTTTCGGTTTTCTACAAGATGCATTTCGGAGTGTGGGCAGGAATTGCATAATTTAATTCCTCCCTCTCCCTTCCACCATCGGACAACCTGGCGTTCGGCCAGTCTCCACCCTTACGTTTTTGACTGACCACGCATTCGAATCAAACGGTTCACTACATCGTTCATAATGCGTACAGCAAAGGAGTGGAATAAGTTGCCAGCATCTGTCTTTCCATCCGATTACAATGTGGGTGTCCTTCAAGGCAAGAGCCAAGAGTGAATAGGCTTTTGTTAAGTCAGTGCGCTTCACCATCTTAGGCTACATCACTACTTACCATCAGGTGGGATTGTAATTAAGAGCTGGCTTAGTATAAATTAAAAAAAATAGATGAATTAAAGTTATATTTAATTGTAAGAATATTTTTATTATATGTTTCTGCATAAGCTAACTTCTAAGTCCAAAAAGAAATCAGTTATCTAAATTTCAGTTTTTATGATATAAATTAATACGTAAACAACTTACCGCACAAACAGATGTTGTGTCTGACCAAGCGATGCCGTGCAATGTACAAATGGGCTGGTGATGGAAGCAGAGCCGTTACTAGGACTGGTACGCAACTGGTACTTGTGGCTGCAGCGATGAATGCTAAAACAAGTACGTGATTTTATTACTTTTCATGTTTATTATCGCTTCTCTTATACGAGTAACACAATTTTATAATAACATGGCCTTGTTGAACGGTGTTCTTTTGACGTTTTTAACACACATTCCCCCGCTATAAAATCTGTCCAATATTTGTGGCGCCGCCATGGTGGCAGAAAAAGTCGTAGATGCCCTATCATTCACAAGATACCGTGAAACATACATATCTATACAAAAAAAAAAACAACAGTCCAATAATTGTAAAACCCCTCTTTTTTGAAGTCTGCTGAGAAGCGTTTCTGTTGACTTCAATTATGTTTTTTATTTCACCGGCTTGATATACATCCATTTAATAATTATATCGTCCCGTGTTTGCTTTATAACTGTGTTAGTAACAAACTGTACATTTCCTATAAAGTGAGGAAATTGGCTTTGACGTTTGAACGACCACCATTATCAATATAACTGAGTTGTAGTTAACTTAGTTTTCGAGACTTTATATGCGCTCTAAGCACTATTAAGCTTTACCTCTGAAGGTAAAATCAAAGGGATGTTTAAATTTTCCATAAAAAGTTTAGTCCATAATAACTACAGGAAGTGTATGGGAGCCACATATTTTAACACATGCTTTAACGCAATTTTAAGTACTGGTTTACCACATGCTCGGCAGTGAAGCAAAATAGCGTGTGGAAAACTGCCTATAAATAGCTATAATATGTAAAGCCAAGCTGAAGCTATATTATAGTTGTAGCACGAATGGGTCGGCTCGACAGGGGAAGGACCACGCTCTCACAGAATACGAGCGTAAAATAGTAGATTTAAGCTACTATTTTACGCTAAGTATTAATAATGCTGCTGTGTTTCGTATCGTATCGTAGTGTAAAGAACCGGAGACGCTTTTTACTGGAAACGAGGCATTCGATCGTAGTCCTCAGGGGTGACAACGCATCTCCATTTTGATTCTTAATTGATTAAGAATGAATACGCAAATGTCTATGGGCCGCAGCATCCACTTACCATCAGGTAGACTCTGTGTTCGTGTGTCATTCCCATTCTATAAAAAAAGAACACGTTAACGAAGGGGTCATATTTTTAAAAGAAAAGCTATGAAAAGATAGATAGACTGAAATCTAAGTCTAGGTTTTCAACATCTAGTACTAGTAAAGCTGTAGTTATACAGCTTTAATCCATCATTTAATCCATAAAGTGTGACTCACCGCACAAGGCCGTCGGCAGTCTGGCTGACGCGCACGTTATTGATGATCCAGTTGTCGATGCCATCATCGGTAAGCCAGTACTGCATTGCTTGAAGCAGTGACATGGCTTTGTTCACGTACGATGGCCCGTGTCCAGACTCGCTACATTTAAAAATATATATAGTGATAATTTGAGTGCAGCAGTTCTCTTTATCTGAACAATAAGTTAATCCGTCAGGCTCGGAGGTAAGATGCACGCACCCCCTTGTGAATTCGAAGAGTTCGAATTTACCTGAGCGAGAAAGAATCAGGCGCTCATTCGATTATAATTATAGATTATTACTTTTTTATTACAGTCATATCGTCTTATACTTAAGTCCAATCTATGAAATATTAATATTTGATTCCAACTATGAAATATCAGGTGACATTTGATCAGCTACACATTGTCACTGATATTAATATTATTAATACATAAGCTAAGATTATTTTTAACGACTTTGAAATAATTACTCAAAAAGGAGTAAGTACGGTCTGATACAATTTAATAGAGCCTACACTTGTTACAATATATTTTAAAAGAAAGATTTTCGATCTGAAATTCTGAAAGATAAAATTCAATTATTTTGGACCCAAGGATAAAGTAAAAAATATTCATAATTTCTAATTTCACTGGGACCAAGTCATATTAATATTATATGTGTTGCCATGTGCCTATTTTTTTTAAACGGAAGTAAAAAACTAACTTCCTGATGATAAGTGGCTACTGCAGCCCATGGACATCTGCAAGCAACTCCTTTATTTGAAGTTGGTTGTCACCTCTAAAGACTAAGTCGAAAAGCCTCATTGCTCCTCTGGCTTACATCTCTCTATACACTTTATACCGGAACACAGCAGTGCAAGCACTGCTTATTGACTGCAGAAATAGGTAAGAGGCGAAAAAGGAGCCCTACCAACTAGTACAGTCAGTACGGACAAAGAATGGGATTAGATGGCGTCCGTTTTCAATCCAATTCTTTATCTGCACGGGTTTTATTGTATTAAATAAAATATTGAAAGGACATACTTGTAAAAGACGTTTAGTGTGAAGTCCTGGCTCATGTCAAGGAACGTGTCGGTAGTGGTACGAGTCCCGGCCGCATCTACGAGGTACACAAGGGCACACTGCTCCGCAGTAAAAGAAACTCCCTTGTACCACATCTTTGCATACCTGTTGGGAAATTAAAACTTGCCAACAACGTTCTTTTAGTAGATGCGTACATAAACGATCAAACGATCAAACATACGACACCCACTCTTAATGACGAACTGGGAATGTAACAATATTTATGCCTTACAACCAATATCATTGGAAGGTACTAAGACCGCTTAAGTTTTTTATATTCGGGTTCAGGAATTTTCGGAATCTATACATATAATAAATCTGAAGAAAAGTCGTGTCTGTAATTCTAATATATTCTTGAAAAAACAAGTCCAGGGGACTAAATGAAGGGTTCTGAAGCCAAATTAGTGGTTTTTAGAATTTTTGTTTGCATGTCTGTCTGTCTGTGTATTCCGGATTCACGCAAAAACTACTGAACCGATTTACATGAAATTTTGTATGTAGGTAGTCAGTAACCCGGGGCAACTTATAGGCTACCTTTTATCCGATTTCGGAACTTCAAAAAAGGAAGGTTAAGTATATTAATTTCCTTTAGATGTTAATTTTCTGTTGTATCTTAGTTATAGGCGGAATGACGGGTGGTTTTCAAATAAATACCATATTACCATATTTGTAAATAAAGTTTAAAATATAGTTATAATCTTGGTAAAATAATTTGAAACTACACCGATTTCGTATTCAAAACAGCGCCATCTATCATCAAATGGAAAAAGTTGTATATTTTGCCTTCAGTTACTAATAAATGAAATAATATAAATAATTTACATTTATATGATTAAATTATTAGATTTTTAAAATTATTAAAAAATTGTAACGTTCAGTTTTTTAGTATTTTTGTTATTTTATTTTAAAAGTGTAATAATTTCAATAGATAATAGTGACGTCTATCAAAAATATGAAAATTGATAAGGTATTTATTTCAATTACTAATATATATGTAAAGTGATAAAAATTGGTCTGTCTGCAATTGTTGCAAAATTTTCATTATCATAGTTTTATTAAAGAGATTTTTATGTATGTCGTGGCCAGATCGTAGAATTGATCATATATCATAAAGTAGTCTATCATTTAGTGAAAACACTGAAAAAATGACTGAAACGAATGTGTATTTAACACTATTTGATGACCGTGTCATTATATAGCTTGACCAAATCAATGAATAGAAATCTTTTGAAGTTATTAGTAACTAAACACAACGTTGCTATTTCATAATATGGTCATATGACGATATCATTATCGTTTTTCACCGCTAGCGGCGCTGTTAGCTTATTTTTAACAGAAACAGAACTTTTAAGAGAATTGACATCACTTTATCCCTTATTGATATAATAAATAAATGTTCGTTTCTATTGCTGATATTACTAGATGGTATAGTTTTGGCTTTCATTATTTCATGTAATATTAGCGCCACCTACTTACTTCTAAATAAATTAAAATGGCAAGACATTGATAAAATGAAATAATACAATGCTACTGAATATACGATGTAAATAATTGAATCATTTACATTACGTTCATCCCGCGTTGGAATCAGTGCAGCGAACTCTTTTTTGGCCAAAAACTCTACAGCCTGTGCCCAGTAGTAGCATGTATGTAAGCTGCTTTTTCACTTTTCATGGGGCTATATATGCAGTTTTTATTTCATTCGTGTTTTCGGGTATGATAATTTATGTTTTCACTCTACCGTAAATATTAAGGCTTGCCAAGATGAGTAGAACTCATAATCGTCAGCCTATCAAATGTCCACTGAAATGAACATAGGCCTCCCCCATAAATTGTGAAGTAGCTGGATATTTGCTATAGGGGCGGGTTGGCAACCGCAGCTATTATTATTTTGATCTGTTTTCAAGAAGATGATGCAGATCATACCATCTACTATTTTTTTCCTATGTCGCCTCTTACTACGGGACGATATGATGTGTAGGATTTTCTTTCACCGCCACAACAGTGCGAACATTTTTCTACTCCCGTTCATGAGTGTAGTGTTCCTCACGTTCACTGTGTATAAAATTTATAAGGAATAAAAGTAATTTAAAGGATTTTATCGCGTTTAATTTTAACTTTTTAAATTCCCGATGGTTTGGGCAATTTACAGCACCCATGGTCACGGAAGAGGTGGGAGAACTGAGGTGTTTGACGACCTGATGTCATAGTTAAAATAAAATAGTTAAAATGAAGTAGTAATTTAGGAATTTAATTTTATTAATCATGGAGTCCTTAGCAGATAGTATCACTCAGCCATCTTCCCTATTAAAATTAGGATATTTTTAATTTCAATAGCCTCGCGAATCATCATTGGTAGGATTCGGTGTTCTATTGCAAGGATTTGTTGTATATAATGGTTGGGACGATACTAAACATGTTTACATACTTTAGACTTCCCGGAACTTCGGTGTTTTCATTCGGTGAGGAGTCAAGATGCGTAAAAAACCTCTAACATTAGTTTTAATCCATGTGTGGTATTCATTATTATAGAACTGTATTTACGAAATTTTCAAGTCTACTCGAAGTAAATAAAAATATCTATATCTTTTTATGGTGCCAATCAATATCAAATAGGACCAATGATATGAATAAAATGTCTCAAATAAACATTTGTTTTACTTTGTTAAAACTAAATTTACTTTAACTATGAATATATATATGTAAAGACTAAAATGTAAATAATAATAATACATTTTGATTTCAAGACTATTTACCTTTCTTATGGATACATCGGTATCGGAAGATACGCCATATATAAAAAATAGTAGGAGTTTCTAGACATATTATAAGTATATTCACGTGTTTCTGTAGCATGTTACCAATGATCTACGTCTAATAGTATTTTAGAATGAAAAAAAATCTCTGACAGACAGAGACAGACACCAAGGAGACTCTTAAAAGTGATCGAATATTTCTAAATTTGACACGGAACAGCATTTAATGATGTCCCTAAATTCAAGCGCACGCGAGCGAAGCCGCTGGTAAAAAGCTAGTTAGTAAATATATTTTTTACTGCTCACACGTTCATCCTACTATACGTTTATCGAGTTTCAACCGAGTAAAGCAACAGAGCAACCTGTAAATTAACAAGTTGTGGAAATGAAAATGAAACATAAATATAATAAATAGAATATTTTTATTTAATATTTTATATTATATTGAATTCTTATTGAAAGCCATTTTTAAGGGAAGACAATAACATTGCGGGTATTTTTTTTAAAATATAATTATACATAATAATTTAAAATTAGTTTGTACAACCGACTTCAATATAAATTATTAAATAACTCAAAAACTATTGGTCACATTATTTTTATGTGTGTTACCTCATAACTTTTTTCTGGGTGAACCGATTTCGATTATTCTTTTCTGGTACATCTAATGTGGTCCCATATAAATTTGATCACCGTCTGACAAAAAGTTATTGAGTTATTCTTAATAATTTATATTGAAGTCGGTTGTACAAAATTTTTAATTTTTAATTATTTAATAAAATTACTTTTGTTTATTGAAATAAATTTTCATAAATATAGGTACTGAGAGGCCAAAGGCAATATATTTATTTAGAAAGGTTACAGGTTATCAGTTATATTATAAAATGACTATCAGAATGTATATTATAATATGTTTGTAGGTTGCTGGGCCTTGCGTCTAGACACCAAAAAAGGTGTCGACTTAGATTTACTTGACTTTATGCTATAAAGACAGCAGACTGCATATTTTTCTCAGATGAGGTGATAGTTCTTATTATTGACATAGTGTGTTTAAATATAATAATTTGAGCTATTCCTTAGTGCAAGGCCTGTACGGAGTATGTGCGGCGTATCAGTGCATGCGGTATACAAATGGTAAGATCATTAAGACACTATAACAATTCCAAAAAAAAAACACAATATCGTTAATTATATATGCGAAATGCCCTACCCTGATGTAAGCTCGAACAGAGTTAGCACTTAGTTTCAATACTTACTTATTGTTACCCTGCTGGTGATGCGCTTGGATCTCAACTCGGGAACGATAGTTGTACACTCTTCCATTGGGGTGGATCAACGCGGCGGCAGCCCCCGATTGTGATAGCGCTAGTACAATGTTGTACTTAGCGTTTGTTACACGGACGGCGCCGTCTACCGTCATGTCCACTCTTCAATATAAAACGTGTTTTTATCATTATTATACGTGCTAGAGCCACATTGCAGCTATATTATGGTTGTAGCACGAATAGGTCGCCTCAACCGTGAAAGGACCACGCTGTCACAGAATACCAGCGTAAAATTGCAGATTAATGCTGCCTTGTTCCATATGGTGAGTTTTACTGTAAATGAGGAATTCGATCTTGATCCTCAAGGATGACAATGCATTTCTATTTTGATTCTTATTTGAAGATAAATATAGGTGTCTATGGACTACAGTATCCAATTACCATCAGGGGAACTATGTGCTCGCTTGGCGCTCTTATTCTATTAAAACAGCATATCGGTCCTATAGCTCATGCCTCTTCCTCTTCCTGAGAGGGTATTAGAACACGAAGTGCCACACCACCACCACGCTGCTCCAGTGCTAGTTGATGAACTGTGTCGTTGAGTATTATGAAATTTACATAAGTCATTCCCTACGTACGTCAGTTACATCCCTACGTACATTAATAAACATCCCTTGTTAATTTAAAATACAATTTTTATACATAACAATGAAATGATAAATACGGTTCGGCCGGCTAAAATAATTGTCAGCAAGAACTTTAAATAAAAATTTCATCGAAAATCATCAACAACTCATTTTCAAAGCAATTTCGTTGACCTATTTTGAAGATAACATATTAAAAATTTAATTGTGTAGCACTTTCCATTTTTTATCTAGAATGCTCACCGAAGGGCATAAACACAAGAGACAGACTATTTTCTTGAGGTTTTTTTTTAACTGTTGTAACATGATCCCGATCGCTTTTTGATTCGATTTCTTATACCTATTCGCCTATGTTTATAAATGGTCATTTTAGCATTAGTCAAATTCCTATATCTGTATACATATAATTAAAATTGAATTGTCTGTCTCTAATATCGAAATAACTGCCTTCTTTCATGCAATTAAAACAAACACATTTTAAAAATTTTATCGATTTGTCTATATGTTTGCGATAATATTCAAAATGGCTGAACCTTCACTGTTAGAAAGCATGATTAATATTTTCTAAAAATGTTTGCTGTCGGCCCTGCGGCGTATACAGCTTTACCGAAATAGACTCGTAAGCGAGACCTTGGGAGCTATTGTTTGCAACGATTCTGCCGGTCGACTGCAGTCCCAAGGCACTTCGCGGCCCCTGCTTTTGGAGTAAGGCTCCTTGAGCTAGTGGAGGGCTCGATGTGATTCATGGGCCCCTCAGAAGGAAGTACCAATATCGGCGTGAACCACCATCGATTGAGTAGAGATCAAGGAGCGATCTAGGCTATATTTTGTACCAAAACGGAGGATTTTTGTGAAATCGAAAACTGATAAACGGCTTTTTATCTCTCGCTCTCGTATATTTTAAAAGATAGAAAATTTCGAAATAAAACTTTTGACACTTTTTCTTGTCTATTAATGTAAAGCAATGTACATCAAGTACCTACAATCGATTTCCAACATTTTTTTTCTTCAACACTATTTTACTACAAAACAGTACAAGCATAAGATTACCTAATATATTCATTTTTAATTTAAATTAGTTAATTTTTATTTGTTTATAGTAAAATGAACTTTAAAAAAAACATCAAATACAATTATTAGGACTCTTTGAGAGCAAAAACCCACAATAACCTACGTCGACAGTTTATAATATAAAGTCAGATTTAATACTCACTTCACGCGGTCTCTGAGCCTCAGACAAACCGTACCGTGCGGAGTCACTGAAGCGTTATAACGAGCGCCGCCTACTGCATCCGTCACCTGTTTAGTATGTACATTTAATAAGAACATTGTGAGCAGGTGAATAAAAAATATGACTTAATTTGTTGATTATATGTTCTTTATGGACGGATGAAAAATTAAATAATTATATCCACTGACACAAGAGGGACTCTTTATGATGAAATCTTTCTTTCAGAAGGGGCCTCACAGAACTAAAAGTAAAGTAAAAATGCGTAAAAATTACGCAGGATATGTATGTGGCCTATGGTACTAAAGCCTTTTCGGAAATATAAATGAAAATAGATTTGAATCATCATGTCTCTTTTTTAATATTTTACTTCTTTTAATTATTGTGCGTGCGCCCGCGCCTCAGCCACTCTCATTTTTGTTTCAACTTAGCAATTGTCTTCCCTATAAAATTGCAGGTTTCGTAATGCAGTATGTTATCTATTTAAAAATGCACGGTAATGTCTTCAAAACAAGTTTGTGTTTTGCCAATAGGACCAGTTCCTTCTAGATAAATACAAATTATTTATCTACTGTGAAAAATACACATTATCTATTCCACAACATCAAAAGCACTCGATGAGCTAACGTATCAGTATCTGTATTATTGTTCTAATCATTTATTTTATAAATTATTTTATGAACACGATCTGACTACATATAGACTAAGCAAAATGAACCAAATTTCACAATGTTAGTTCTTGTAGCTTACGTGACCTTCGAAATCCAACAGAAATTATTATTTGCTATGACACTTGTCTAGTCTTCATTTTCACAACCTAAAATAATTAAGCGTTTATCACAGTTAAAGTGGCTATAGATCCTACGATATATTGCATTTTAATGATAAGAACAAATTGAAAACTTATTTTTAATCTAAAGTGCATTAAGCTCTAAGAGCTTTTGCTTTCTTAATACTGCTTATGAAAACTTATAATAGCATTAAACCGAGCGCCATCCATAAGCCTGGATTAACCGACGATAGCTGTTGAATTCATGACTGTCTAGTTCATCCTTAATATTTTACAGGCACAATCCATTTAGATAAGCTGATTACAGAGAGGCGGTACCAGAAATTAAATTGGTTCGAGAGTTTTCATCATCAATTTAATTTCATTATCCATTTCATTTCATTATTAGTTTTATTGCATGTTTTATACGAAATGATGTTTCATAATTTTAGCTTTATGTCAAAAGCATAAAACTGAGAATCTTATTTATACTTGATATGCTACAGTGACCAATGAATCGTGCATAGTGACAAACATACAAAGATTTAGAGTCCGATAATCGGAAATATTTTTCAGCGATTATTATTTAAGTGAGCTATTCTTGTATATTTTATAAATGTTGTTACTTCGAAAAGCCGAAGTTTTGATGGTACAACTAGATGCAGCCGATTGCGGTTAGTTGAACGTGTAGACATTGTAGACGTTTGTTAAAACCTTTAAAGCACGTATCAAGAAATATCAGCGACATTAAGTTAAGGTGCGGCGCGGACATTTATCTTTATAGTAAATTTAATAAAATACACCCAAGTCTAACCAAAAGCAATGGGCTGCATTTGGTTGTAGCCGACTAAACCAACTGACCTGTAAAATACGTATAATAAAATACGTAAATTTTGTTCAATACGCTGTTACCTACCTCTAAATCCCTCCAAGTGTCAGCATGGTAGATGTCATCGCCGGGATAGAACGGAGCTTTGCGTTGAAGAGGTGCCCGCCACGGTGGCTGCCATGCAGCCGCACCCACAAGCTCGGCTTGCCCCAAGCCTCCTTCCAGAAATTTGCTGTAGTCTTGGAAAGCGGTCAAGTTTGATTCTTCCTACAATAAAAATATATTAATCATCTCATAAAAATTATCTGTAAACTGATAAATATATAAACCTGTGGTGAAGCTTACTACTTCCAAAAACTAACTGATCTTTTTATAGTTTCTTTAACCAGAAGACATTATTACTGATACTATTACTTCAAAAATTTTCTCGTCTTTTTAAGATCAGAAGCAAGCATCGGAGCGACCTCCATTATCTATTTAGCCGAATGAAGTACTATGGTGTATATGTTCAATCTTTGCCAACCATATCATACCCTAAATTCAACGGCAAGGCAGTATTATGTAATGAATGCAAAATCGGCCTTTCTCAACACCATATACTGCACACCCAGAAGTCATGATGTTTGTTTACAGAAGCGCGTCAGATTTTTTGACAACCGCTTACTTTCTTTTCACGCAATCTGAATTCTTCACAAATAATGTACTCGCCCTGCGATTAAAAGCTTTTGATCATATTACAAAAATTATAAGTTAACACAGGTCTCCTCTTATTTCTGAGAAGGTTTAGGGCTAGGGAAAGTCCACCGCGTTACCCCAATGCGTTGGTGGACTTCACACGTCTTCGAAATATTTTTTTTAATTTCTAAGACATGCTGGTTTCCTCACGATGTTTTACTTCACAGTAAAGTAACTAACTGGTAAATCAGTACTTAAAATTGTAATTAATAATTTCTTTGGAGCCGGCGGGTTTCGAACCCAGGTACGATTTCCTGAAATAAATATCTAAACGGCTTACAAATTATTGTTTAGTGTATTGCCACAGCGCAAATTCAAGTGCAAGTTCTTTAGACTGTGGTATGGCTGTTTGTTTATATTACTCTAAAATTAATCTATAATTTATTGAATTTTGGATTATTACGTCTGAAAAGTTAATACCCACGTCGCAGTTCAGCGAAAGGCTTAATCACATTTTACGCCACGGGACAAGATGGTGTGATGTTTCATTCTCTCTCACACCGTCACTACACGGGTTGTTTTTATTATTAATTTAAGTACGTGCATACATATTTTAATATTTACAATAAAAAAGTACTGTCATAACCTGATTGTAAGAATGAGCTGTATAAACACTCCTAGGCCGCGCGGGCATAGTCACTTCCTTTCTAAAATCTGTACTACCCATTATGAGACTAATTAAACAATTATTTAAACTATTTAGTGTATTAAAAGCGGATTAATAAATACATTAACTATACTGACAAAGGATACTGAAAAATACTACATAATACCAATCATGTTTCACGCGACTCAATAGAAATGAAAAATGATTTGTCATTTATTTCATTCCACATTTAAAATATTTTTAAATTATTATTTATACTGCTTAATTATATCGGCCAGTTGCAGATTAAATGTCAGTTAAAAACGTAAAGAGCAAAGAGAATATAACCACTACGCGTAAAGAGTAGGACTTTAGTTAATTTTATCTTTTAATTGTAAATAGTTTTAATAGCATAGTATAATAAATAAAAATTTTCTATTGTCCCATGGGTGTCGTGAGTGGTATAATATAGTACCTTCTTGGTAATTTATTATTTTCACTGAAAGTTTTGCGTAACACACAAATAAATCGATTTATATGTAAACTGATATATTACTGCTCTTTTTTCTTTTATTAATTATTCTCCATTAGTACATTTTTAACACGTTTTCAATAATTCGAAAAATGTTTAAAAAACCTTACCGCCATTGATCTGAGCGAATGTTTTTACGTGCTGGTTGAAAGCAATCACTGCCTCTTTTGGCTCCGTAAATTGCACATCCCTCATCAAATCTTTCATTATTGGGAAAATAAAGAAATCGAATGCTGCCAGGACTGTGTGCGGGTAGAGTAACGAACTTCTCCTTTTCAAAAGCCAAAAAGGACTTTGTCTTGATCGCGGTGTGCGCCAAGCCAAAGCATTGTCATGGTGCATTAGAATGCGACTTCTTGGTGGTTTATCTCTAACTTTTCTCTCTCAGCATTTAATTCTTGTCTGCCTCAATTTTATTGATTTGCTACGTTATTCAGAAGACTGTTGCTTTCTTTCCAGAATATAACAATATTATCTTCATGTTTCATCTCCTGTTGCAATGTTCGTCTTCTGTTTGCGTATGGTTGAAAATTAGCATGCTAACTTCGGTCGATTGAAATTGTAGTCTATAAGCAGTGTTTTGTTGGCCTTGGTTAAAATTTGGTCTATATATAAACTGTGGTGTTGTACCAAATTGTGAACTATATCCTATGCGTTGTAAGGGGGTTGTGGCCTAATTCCAAATTGTCGGAGTTGCTGTGTTGGTAATTTAATTTGCTTACGTGATAATATTCCATATTTAAATCTTGACTGAAATTGCTTATTATGTTGGTGTCGAACTTGTTGAAGCTGTTGGAAGTGAGGTCTTCATATTTGGCGTACTTTGGGTATTTGTGTGTGTGTGTGTGTGTTTTTTTTCTTTTTATTTAGGATAGAAAACAGTTTTACTAATAGCTTGCCTTGTAAGTTAAACAACTATATTACTTAAAGTATAACTAACTTCGTTATCCACGATTAAGTTGCTGCTTAATACGTGAACACAACCTACCGAATATAGGTAATCCAAAAAAGAACAGAGATAAAACTATAAAATTAAGGAAATATAAAAATAAAAATTAATATGACAAAATAAGAAAAATTAAAATAAAATGAGTAGGGTATACCTGGTACGGTTGTGACAAATTTCAATTGATCATCCATAATTTTATTAGCCTGCCATTTAACTGAAAGTAAGGCGTTTTTATTGTAAAGTATACATCTACGTATAAATATTAAAATTATGCCTCTAAGTACAATGGATAACTCACAGGAACAAATCAGAGAGTAAAAGGGGAAAATGTCATAACCGACCTCACCCCAGGGGCAGTTGTGACTAGTGCTTGGGGCCGAGTGACAGGTTCAAAAATACAGCAAAACGGTCTCAAATCACTTTTATTGCAAATAATATCTTACATATGATAACATAAATTTTCTTCTGGAATAATTTAACATTAACGAAACAATAGAAATAAAGTCGAGGAACACTTTTATGGCTTAAAAAAACTATGACACTGTAAAGCCTACAGTTACGAGTAATATAACACTCCTTATACTACAATATAATCGCTATAATTAATAAGGCACTGTAACATCTAAATTTAATACAGTCTTCACAACTATGTTACAATCAGTCAAAACAAGTTGACAAAACATTTCTAATTAAATATCTACGGTAACTGCTTTAAAATACAAAGTACCTAAACATTTAACTCTAATCTTCTTGTTTAACAAAAACTAAATATTTGTGTAAGTATCAACATGTAAAGTCAAAAAGTAGTAGAATTTTTCTTTCTGAGGAGGAAGGTTCTTGCCCCTTGGAGAAGACTTTATCACGAGCGATGTATCCCATGCTGACGCTGTCTTCATTGTACATTATGGGCCAGCTCCATCGCATTTACGAATGCCATACACAAAGACATGCGATTAACTGCATACATTTCTACAGCTCTCCTTACAAAAAATCCGCGTTTCACTTCTTTATAAGCATCTTCATTTACTGTCCTTTTTCGGTCTTTCTCAAACGTTTCCTGCGCATGTAAAGGCAAAAATAAAAATTTTACTTTTTTCACAACCGTACCCATAAAATATGTTACACCCGTACCCAATACACTCCTACGCAAAAAAAGTAATTGCCATAACAATACAAAATAACACATGTACAAAGTAATTACAGGTATATTACTACTAATGTTCCACTTTTCACGAAGAAAATCACACATTATTATCATCAGCGTGGTTTTTACAAATCTTTGGCGCAAATAAATACCGTTAGTGTGTGTTTCGGATGAAATGCGAGCGATAAGGTGTGTGAAAGTAAATTTTAGTACCTATTTGATTGCAACTAATATAAATATAAAAAAATTAAATAACAACATAATATCTAAGATCAATTTTCTCTTTACGAGTTTTGCTTTACGTGCTGTTTCCGAGAGTCATTACGAATCGTCTCGCACGCAAACTTGACGATTTCCAGTCTCCCGAACAAGCCGGTTTCCGAAAAGGCTTTAGCACTATGGTGTATAGTGTGTATGATCTATGGATCACATATAAACCCTTCAGCAAATTGTACAGGAGACCGAGGGTACCATTTGCCACTATGTCTGTATGTATTTGTGACTATGAGAAAGCCTTTGATTCCCTCGAAATTTACGCAGTGCTGCAGTCCTTTCAGCGGTGCCAAGTTGACTGACGGTATATCGAAGTGCTGAAGTGTTTGTACAGTAGTATACTATCCGAGTACATAATCACAGTACGAAACATATCCAACTGTAGAGAGATGTAAGACAGGGTGACGTTATTTCCCCGAAACTCTCCACCGCTGCATTGGAAGACGTTTTCAAGCTACTGGATTGGAAAGGATACGGTATTAACGTCAAAGGCTAGTTCATCACTCACCTTCGATTTGGCGACTATATAGTCCTTATGGCAGAATCGCTGGAGGACCAAAGCACTATGTTTAATGACCTCAACTCTCCCAACGGATAGGTCTTAAGATGAACATGGACAAAACAAAAGTCATGTGTAACTTCCATGTCACACCTATGCCGATAGTTGTTGGGGACACTACGCTCGAAGTTGTTGACGAGTATGTTTACCAGAGACAAATAGTCCGACTAGGTAAGTGTAACTTCAACCGAGAGGTCAATCGACGGATTCAACTCGGCTGGGCAGCATTCGGGAAATTACGGCATATCTTCTCGTCAGGTATACCTCAAACATAAAAACTAGACTGTACAACCAGTGCGTGCTGCCATTGGTAACCTATGAAACTGAACTTTACGTGGTAGAGTCACGCTGCAGCTATGGCTGTAGCACGAATGGGTCGGCTTGACCGGGGTAGGACCACGCTCTCACAGAATACTAGCGTAAAATAGCAGCTTAATGCTGCTGTGTTTCGTATGGTGAGTGTAGAGAAGCGAAGACCCTTTTACTGAAAACGAGGCAATCCATCTTAGTCCTCAGGGGTGACAACGCATCTGCATTTTGATTCTTAATTGAGGATAAATGTAGATGTCTATGGGCCACAGCATCCACTTACCATCAGGTGGATTGTGTGCTCATTTGTCCCCTATTCTATAAAAAAAACGTGGTCCTTCACTGCTGGCCGTATGAAGAAGCTCAAGGTCGCTCAGCGAGCTATGGAGAGGGCTATGCTCAGAGTTTCACTGCGTGATAAAGTTAGAAATGAGGATATCCGCAGTAGAACCAGAGTTACGGACATAGCCCAAAGGTTTAGTAAGCTGAAGTGGCAATGGGCCAGCCATATAGCTCGAAAAACCGACAACCGATGGGGAAAAAAGGTCCTCGAGTGGCAGCCTTGTACCGGTGGGCGAAGTGTAGGGCGTCCCCTCACTAGATGGAGTGACGACCTGGTAAGACATGCAGGAAGTCGATGGATGCAGGTGGCTCAGGACCGTGCTTTGTGGCATTCCTTAGAGGAGGCCTATGTTCATCAGCGGACTTGTGAAGGGTTATAATGATGATGATGAGTTTTCCTAAAGTAAATTTAGTATATGTACCTTAAGAGGAGCAGAAATTCATAGACCGTAAAAACTTTTGTTGAACTGGTTCTATCTTGTCGATGTATTTAGCATAGAATGGGTTCCAAACGGGTGTGGCATACTCTAACTGGGGTCTAATTATTGATTTGCAAAGAGTAAGGTATGAAGGGGTTGCTTGAAAGAAATAGAGTTGCGCATGACCAAACTGTATAATTATAAACCTTAACTATTATGTTTTAACGTGAATATCAAAATGAAGCTTTCTCAAAACACACTTAAGTCTATTATTACACAATAAAGGCGCATTACACAGTAAGTTGGTAATTTTTTTTTTGGTAAATGTTATTATCTTTTATTTATTCATCATAAGTATGTAATATCTTCCCGATAGATTTTGAGGTTATTCGCATATAGTAAAAAGTGTGTATGCTTAAAACATTGATTTATATCATTAATGAAAATAACAAAAAGCAAGAGGCCTAATATTGATCCTTGAGCAACGCCAGAAGTTACTTTAATAATATCAGATTTGAAACCGTTAATGACAACCAGTTGTGTTCTATTTCTTGCGTATGAAGAAATTTATCTCAGTAAGTTTCCTCGAATGCCATTAAAAGATATCTTCTTAGCAAAATATCGTGATCCATCTTATCAAAAGCCTTACAAAATCAGTGTAGAGAAAGTTAACCCGAATTTGATTGTCCATACATTCAAATAGAAAGCTTTTATACTTATAAGACTAGATTATTGGTTGTTGAACGATTTTTTAATTCTTTTAAATTCTTAAAGGTTCTTCAATTAAAATGTTATATAATAATTTAATGGTGTATTAACCGTTCAAATAAGGTGGACAATAATAGTATGGCACAATAGTTAGTCAGATCGTTCTTACTGTCATTTTTTTGAATAGGGGTTATGTTGGCTAATTGCCAAATTTCTGCGCCTATACCATCTTGTAATCTTTTATTATACTACTAGCTGTTCTCCGCGACTTCGCCCGCGTGTAATTTATGGTTTTAATTATGTTGCGCCGAACCCTAATTCTTTTTCTAAAATATAAGTAGCCCAAGTTACTCCTTATAACATCAGCTATCTGCCAGTGAAAGTCCCGTCGAAATCGGTCCAGCCGTTTCGGAGAATAGCCGGAACAAACAGACAGATCGACAGACAGACAAAAATTTTAAAAATTGTGTTTTTGTTATTAGTACCGTATATACTTTCATATGTATTTAATAAAAAGCTGGTATTTTGACATTACAAACAGACAATTCAATTTTATTTCTTTGTATAGATATGCTCACCCGAGGCAAATGTGACAGTAGGGCTAGTGTAACAAATGCAAATTATGCAGCATTAACACGTTTTTTTGGTTAAACTCCATCTATTGAACAACGCAGGAACTTTTACTCTATTGACTATACAGGTCCCGTCACGTAAAAAAATCGCTGACCGACAGTGGAGGGAGTGTTTCTGTGCATGGGTACAGTCGCGTTCTAAAGTACTACATGGTACTAGGCTATTACTAACGCCTCCGTGGCGCAGACTTTCAAAAACGAAGGATGCTATTTACCGATGTGTTTGTATGTATTTATACTTAAGTACATACTTTTTTATATTAATACCAAGGAAGAAATACGTGTGAAAGAAAAATGACGGAGGATGTCAGAAATAGAAAGAATTATTATATAATATGATGATACAAGTATAATTAGATTTTAGAAAATATGACGTTGTTTTAGTACGATATTACGACAAGAAAAATAGCAGTATTATGTTGGGATAGTACAGATTATTGAAAAGAATGATGGTACAAAATATTGTATTATAAGCATTATGTAGACTAAAATAGAGGAAAACCCCATTTGTTTTGTTAAACCCAAGGTTAAACCACGAAGATGACATTATTGTCTTTTAAATTTAACTAAATAATTAATTTATTAAAAAGTTCTTATTCAACTAAAAATAGCATATATAATACAAGTACCAAAGCATTATGGTTATATTATTCTTGATTGTTAACGTTTTAGAATTAAAGTTATTTTTCTCTTGGCATTGTTTTTATTACATGTAAAAAACATCCATGGCAAGTGTAACATAAATCAATTTAAAGGCACATCACTAATGCTTAAAAACAGTCACACTTGCCCCACGTGGGGAAAAATTCATTGTTACACAAAAATGGACGTTCAAATCGTTACAATAGATCATAAAATATATTGACATTAGTATCATCTAGTATCATCGAAAACTACAGGTAATAATAAAGTAACTATAAAAAGAAGCTGACTGTCACACTTGCCTTATTGATGGGTAAGTGTAACAGTCTTCCACCTCAATTAGTTTTAATTACCTCAAATTACAAAATGCTAACTACTGTAGATACTAAAATGCTTGATCATACAAACAACCACTTAATAATTGATGATATAGAACTGAATTCTCTATGATAAATCCTTACAGAGTAGAAGTATTTAAATGTCCATTCTAGTTTTAATTAATTTATGTTACACTTGTCCTGGGTGGCTTTATACATATTGGAATTAAAATTGATTCAGCCGTACTTTGTAGGAAAATGGAGAAAGTCCATCAGACCCAGGTGCTTTGGTGATGTAAAATGTTTTATGTTTCTATTATTAATAAGATTAATATAATTTGAAGCTGGCTTAGTGATTTTACTATCGCGAAGATTAATATCCACTATTGATTAACTTTCGCAATAAACGTTTTCTTTATATTATATTACATTCTATTGCAGAAATTGAGGTATGATTATAGAGACATTCATTTTCAAATTCTCCATTTCAAACGCGATATACTCTTCGAACCGTGGATCACCGAAATGTTGTCCAAAATTTAATTTTAATTCATTCCATGTTTCAATATCTGGTATAATATCCCCAATAAAGGCGGCAACTCTGTCAATTAACTTTGAAGTAATTACGTGAAATATATACAAATCTTGTTATGTGTTTCCTATTTCTCTACACAGCTGCATACGAATAAATAAATTAAGAAAAATTTCATTACAGGTAAACTTTACTAGTAGAAAGTTACATGATAATATTTATCTTAAGCATTTTTGTTAATCTGGCATTCATGTTTTCAAAGAGTTGTAGTACCTAGAAAAGCAGAAATTGGTTAAATTGGTAGACTATTATGTATTTATTTGTTAACCACTACTTTAAACATTAATTTTATATTGCCACCAATAAAAGTAGAAGTTTTATAAAGAGTATTTCTTTTTCCGTGCTACTATTTTTCGTTGTTTTACAATAAATTAAAATTATAAAAATGTAATTTCAGAACGCAACATTGATGTGGAAGCGTTGTAATGACATATTCGCCATGCTGGAACTAGGTACACGAATTTAAACTAAATAAAATATTGATTAATTTAGAAAATTAAATAAATCATAATTATGTATTAAAATGATATAAGTATCCATTTATACTTAAGATAGTAACTAATATATAGGTACAATTTTATAGATCAAAAATTGTTCCGAGTAAAATTTTGACTCAACAGATTAAAAATTAAAAAAATTGAAGCATAGTTTTTCTCAGACAATTTTTTCAATGTGAGTATTTTATAATGAATCAAAGTTCAAAACATAAAATGACAAATTCTATCAAATCTTTATGTAGTTTTGACTTGCAGAAAATTTGTTTCATTTAGTGATTGTAAGAAAAATAAACATCGAGACTAATTCCACAGGTAATCTAGAACTGTACTTTCGGTACCAAAATTGTAGTGCACTATTTAATCTGTGCTTTTCGATAGTGGAAACACCGGCGGCCCGCCACGTTTCGCCAATCTTATTAGTTGTTCACTCATCAGTAATATTTAACTGCTCAGTCTTTTCTCTCGTGAACAAAATAATTTATTAGAAATGAGTGCTCCTGCACCAGCGCCTGTTTATAAAATAGGAATAGTGAAGCAGGTAATACAATTCTTTCATGTTTTTCATTTTTAATAAAGTAAAGTGGTGAAGTGGTCGCGATATTATGATGCCTCGTGCCCGATTACATATACCTTGCCTTGTTGGCATCACAATCACGTTATGAAGAAAAATTTATATATTTCTTGTATTAAGTACTTAATTTTTTTACTTCAATTTGTCTACTATGTTTTTTATATTTCATTTTTTCATATTATTATTAGCGATTTTTCAGTATCATTCTCAAACCTTTTTATACATTATTTTCAAAGTGAAGTTTTTAAATACACATTCAACGTAAAAATCGTAATAACTCGTAACCATTCAAAAAATTTTCAGGTTTTATCTGGAGACACGATCGTAATTAGAAAGCAGCCGCAAGGTGGTCCACCCCCTGAGAAGGTGATCGCACTTTCGGGTATCACCGCTCCGAAACTAGCTCGACAAAAAACTGCCAACAAGTAAGTACTTACTTTCACACGATTTTAAATTCCTATTGAGTTTTATCAGCTGTTTTGTGTCAGCATTTTGTTTATTTTATGAAATCTCAACAGTGACCTATTTTTCTATACTGCTACATTTTTATAAGTGTGATGTTGAGTAAAATAATATCAAATCACATTAAAAGGCAAATGTCATTATATTATTATCAGTATTTAATATGTCCCATTTAACACAACATTGAAATAAATAATGCACTGCTTATCATATACTTATATTTTTAAATTCATTAATATTTCACAACTTCCGTTCAATAGTAATTTTTTTTATCCTATTTTAACATAAGTTATTTAAAACTTAAGCATAGAAAAAATTGTTTCTTTAACTATTATAATCCAGTGGTTACATGCTATCCTACCTGATGGTAAGTGATGAAATACTTTCTTGGCCTTGGTTGTTGTGGTGGTTTGTTGTAAAATTTGTTTTGGAAATTCTTTGCTAAGCGAATATTAAGATTTATTTTACATAATTGAAAAATATATTTGAAACAGCCAGTTTTCATAGAAAAGCTTGCATTGTATTAATAACTCTATAACCTCTATTCGTAATACATTAATTATAGTTGCCTTACAAGTTATGTTTTTCCCAACAATATGATTTTATATAATGAAATAAAACTACATATTTATATGGATTTTATTGTGTTTAATTATTTTTGTTCCCGTCCCTTTGGGTATTTTTGGCCATTTTTTTGCATGGGCACACTGGGCAAGGGCCCAGGGCCCTACGATACATGAGGTCCCTTAGTTCCTACTCCCATATCTATTGTCGTAAAGTGCCCAGGGCCCCAACAGGTGACTGCGGTGATTGATGTCCCAATCTCAAAGTTAACCCAGAGTACCTTCAGCTTGCACAAAGCAATTTATATAATATATACATACAATCTTAATTTAGCTTATATTACTTTTTGCTAGGCGAATATACATGTAGAATGATAACTGTTTTCAATTTTAAGGGATTAAAATAATTATTAAGATTCCACAACTTCTTTCTCATGACTGCAAAAATAATCTTGGCTCATCTAATGGCTGTTTATCTTGTGGATAATTTTCATGAAAACTCATTTCAATGATTTACTATAATAAATTTTTTATATGTTATCAACAATATATTCATGCAAGACTCTTTTTACTGGTGAAGAGGCATTTCATATTAGGCATTGGGGTGATAATGCGCTTTGATTATAGGGTATCATAGCAGCATTAGGGAAGCTTTATGTGGGCTTTTGGTCACCCATACCACAAAGCCTAAGAAGAAAAGTCAAAAGACCTTCAACCAGTATGTCATGCCTGTAGTCACATATGGTGCCAAAACCTGCACACCCAACAAACGATGGAAAAAGCTAGGTCACCGACATAGCCTTCTGCAATTGCAAGCTGAATCAAAAAAATTTTGAATTTAACTGCTTCTCTTTATTTGCTACCACTTTTTAGTTGCATTTAATATAAGTAGATACATATAAAAATATTCTATAAATTGCAGTCCTTACTTAACCACTTTAAATAGTGAGAGAACACTATTTATATAAAAATGTCATGTACGCAAATGTATATGTTAGTGATTAATAATTTCAATTTTAGAAATAGTAAAATGCAATAGCGAATATTAAAAATAATTTTAAAACAGCGCCTGCGAACATTTTTTTTACTTAAAGTCAATTTCAATTAATTTTTATATACTTAGTGATTTCCCAAAGAAAACCATTGCAGTATGTTACTATTTCAATGTGGTAAAAATATAAATTTTGGCTTGTGGTGGCAATATAAGAGAATTCAAACACCCCATTTTATCCCATTAGTGTTATAACGGGTGACAGAAACAAAAACTTTTTTATTCAATATAGATTATAAATAATACTTATTGAAAGTCACTCTTTTGTTTAATTACCACTGTTTCGAAAAAATCTCTATCCTGGAAAGAACCAGCAAGAAACCCATCAGAACTTTTTTTTAAAATAACAGCTTACAATCATGTATGTTACATGATTAACCACACAAAACAAATTAGAAATGGCTTGGTAGCGATCACCTCATTCCCAGGGGTTATAATCATCCATAAATTCCTTAATATTATTATAATAACCCTTTTTGTACAAAACTTAGTTTAATAAAATTTTTGAACTTTGAACAGGTCAAATTTTGTATATTTTCTGGGATTTTGTTGTAAAAGCGTATACATCACCCTAAGAATGAATTAATGACTTGGTGGAGTCGAGTGACTGGTACTACTAGCTTGTGTCTGTTCCTAGTATTTAGAGAATGAATGTGGAATATGCTAGAATGATTTACTTATGGCTTCCGATAGATGGCATTAAACGTCTCGTTTATGCTATAGTTAAAATACTCAGACCAGTAATGAAGGGAAAGAGCGTCAAAAGTGCAAACAATCTAGTACTGTAATTGTCAGTCTGCCTGACAAGTGTGACACTTAAGGCAAATTCTCCTCACAATGGGAGAGGTCCATGTCCAGCAAAGGACTTTAATATAAAAATGCAAACAATATTTTTATTAGATTTATTGTTATTTTACGTAAATAATTAGATTTTATAAATAATAAGCTTTATTCTATATAATAGTTATTTACACAAAACACTATATTCTATATTAGATTGATATCTTAAAATGGATATGTAGTATTTCTTAAAAAAGTACCTGAAAATTGGTTGCATTTGTAGAAATTTACTTAAGAACACACTTATAAATACATCAAAGATTTCACATATATCCTTTATTGTTACAGTGACACTGAAACAAAAGATGAGCCTTTTGCTTGGGAAGCTCGTGAGTTTCTTAGAAAAAAGTTAGTAGGCAAAGAAGTTATCTTTACTGCAGAAAAACCTCCAAACTCTGCAACAAGGGAATATGGATCAGTGTGGGCTGGCAAAGACCCCACTAAAGATGAGAACATGACTGAAGCTCTCCTTGCTGAGGGTCTAGCAAAAGTTAGAGAAGGTGGCAGAAATATACCACAACTAAAAAGACTTGTGGAAATTGAAGATATTGCAAGATCTCAAGGAAAGGGTATTTGGGGTACCGACCTTCAGGTAAACTAAAAAAAGTAATAGTAATCTGAAGGATTTTTTTTTTAATTTACCACTGTTATATTTTATAACTTCATAATCAAGCTAACCGTGCTTTATTAAGTTATTCTAACATCTTTCTTAGCATATAAAATGAAGTAATTTACATTCACATTATCTATACAAATAAATAAAATTGAACTGTTTGTAATGTCAAAATAAAAGCATTTTTACTAAATGCATATGAAAGTATGTACAGTACTTATAATAAAAACACATTTTTTATTATTTTTGTCTGTCTATCTGTCTGTCTGTTTGTTCCGGCTAATCTCCGAAATGACTGGATCGTTTTCGACAGTACTTTCACTGGCAGATAGCTGATGTTATAAGGAGTAACTTTGGCTACTTATATTTTAGAAAAAACAGTTAGGGTTCCGCACTACATAATTAAAAACCCTAAATTAAACACGGGTGAAGTCGCGGGGAACTAGTATATGCATAAACAGTAATTCTAGTTAAAATTATTAAGATTTCTTATATTTACGCGAATGTAACACATTAAAAAAACAAAATTGCGAAGTTTACAGGTTAATTTAAGCTGTAATATTATTTTTATTCTAAATTTTTTAAATTAAATGGTTTTATCTACAGGAACATGTAAGAGATATTAAATGGAATATTGAAAACCCAAAGCAGTTTGTTAACAAATTCAATGGTCAGCCTGTAAAAGCAATTGTGGAATATGTTCGTGACGGATCTACAGTTAGACTTTGTCTACTACCTGACTTCTACACTATCATCATGATGCTCTCTGGAATACGAGTAAGTTTTTTTTATATAGGAGAGGGGGCAAACGAGCATACGGCTCACCTGATGGTAAGTGACTACCACCGCTCATGAACGACTGCAACACCAGAGGAATTTAAGGTGCATTGCCGGCCTTTTAAAAAGGAGTAAGCTCTTTTCTTGAAGGTCCCTAAGTCTTATCGGTCCCTAGTAGAAGATTGCATGATCTGCAAGGGGACACAATGGATTACTAAATTAAGACTGCTAAAATTTAACTGCAAACCAGGAAGTGAAGTGTAGGGTGGCTCTCCATTAGATAGAGTGAAGACCTGGTAAGAGATGCAGGTAGTCTATAGATGCTGGTGGCTCAGGAGCATGCTTTGTGGCGTTCCTTGTGAAAGGCCAATGTTCAGCACTGGACTTGAGAAGGAATGTAAAGATGATGTTGTAAATTGTGTATAAAATTGTATTTAATATAAATTATGTAAAGTGACATTTTGTTTAATATTCAGTGACTGTAAATTAAATATTGTGTGAAAAAAGATACAATCTCCAACAAACCAAACCAAACAATTAAGTTTTAGATTTATCATAAATCTTTTTCAATACAATAATCTTATTATATTTTAAAAATATTTTATAATTAATAATAATAATAACGGCGAAAAGTTTTCTTGGATTAAGTAAATGGGCATATTGTTACAGTGCCCTGCAGTTAAACAAGATGGGGAATCAGAGCCATATGCTGAAGAGGCACGTTTCTTTGTTGAGTCAAGACTGCTCCAGAAGGATGTCGAGGTTATTTTGGAATCAGTGAATAACGTATATTTTGTGGGTACTATCTTACATCCCCAAGGGAACATTGCTGAGGCATTACTAAGGCAGGGTTTTGCTAGATGTGTTGATTGGTCACTAGCAGTCATGAAATCTGGTAAGTATTATACCACCCTCAAAGTGAAAAGGTGTTGTTAGATATTATTCATATACAAAATGTAATTGAAACTATTAATATGCACAACAACACATATATACAATCCTCTAATTTCTCTTTTCACCCACAGGTCTAATTGAAATTAATTATTTTTTGTTTATTTAGGATCTTCGTCTCTGAGAAATGCAGAGAAAGCTGCAAAAGAGGCTAAACTACGTATCTGGACAAACTATATAAGTAATGCACCTGTTATTGCGGCTAAGGATAAAGAATTTACTGCAACTGTAATAGAAGTTATTAATGGAGATGCCCTTGTTGTTAAGCTGCCCAATAATACACAAAAGAAAATATTTTTGGCAAGCATTAGACCACCTCGTGAAAAGTAAGTATTGCCATCTTTGCATGCCATCTACATAATTTTCACTAACATTGTTAATTATTAAAAAATTGTACAACTTTGTTGAGTAGGAACAGCCCAGATGAGGAAGGAAAACAATCACCGAGGCCAAAAGGCTTTAAGCCTTTATATGATATACCATGGATGTATGAAGCACGTGAGTTTCTCAGGAAAAAACTTATTGGAAAAAAAGTTAATGTGACTGTTGATTACATCCAACCTGCTAAGGATAATTTTCCTGAGAAGACTTGTTGTACTGTCATGGCTGGTTCAACGTAAGTAAGAGTAATTCTTTACAAACAATTTCACACAACATATTAATACTTGTTTCAAACTCAAATGTTTGTCTTTGTTTATATTGTAGCAACATCGCCGAAGCTTTGGTAAGTAAAGGATTTGCGAGTGTCGTAAGATACAGGAATGACAATGACCAGAGAAGCTCACATTATGATAAGTTATTGGAAGCGGAATTGAAAGCTCAAAAGGCACTCATTGGTATATATGCCAAGAAAGATATTCCAACTCATCGTATACAGGATACTAGTGGAGATCCTGCTAAAGCAAGAAAATTCTTCCCGTTTCTAAAGAGGGCTCAAAAAACAGAGGCAATGGTAGAATTTGTAACCAGCGGTTCACGAATGAGGTTATACATTCCCAAAGAGTCGGTTCTTGTGACTTTCTTGCTTGCGGGTATTAACTGTCCCCGAGGTGCGCGTCCGACCGCCGGTGGAGGACCTATGCAAGATGCAGAACCTTATGGTGAAGAGGCTCTACAATTCACAAAAGAAAAATGCCTTCAACGTGATGTGGTTGTAACTATTGAAGAAATGGACAAAGCTGGAAGCTTCATTGGCTGGCTTTGGGTTGAAAATGAGAACTTGTCTGTTTCGTTAGTTGAGCATGGACTTGCCTCTATGCATCATACCGCTGAAACATCTGAATTTGCGCGAGCCATTAAATCAGGCGAGGAGAATGCGAAAAAGAAACGTATTGGAATTTGGAAAGATTATGTTGAAATAGAAAAAGAAAGTGAAAAGGAAAGAAATGCACCAGTTCAAGATCGTATATTGAAATATGAAAAAGTGGTTATTACGGAAGTTACTCCAGAGGGTAGTTTCTATGCTCAGAATATTGAATTGGGATCCAAATTAGAAGCATTAATGGAAAAAATCCATCTTGAATTTAAGTCAAATGCCCCACTGCCAGGATCCTATGTACCAAGAAGAGGAAATATCTGTGCTGCACGCTTTACACTGGATGACCAATGGTACAGAGCAAAGGTGGAAAAAATTACAGATGACAAAAAAGCCCACATCTTCTACATTGACTATGGAAACAGAGAGGTAAGATAGAATAAATCTGTAATAAATTCCAAAAACAGTGACTTAAAATTTATTATAGTTTGGGATATTTGACTACGTAGTTGGAACTGTTTCATTTTCATTGATATATAACTGAAAAAAAGACAAATGAGAACTGTTTGCTGGGAATCTCTAAAAAGTTTGTGAAAGCATTTTAAAACCATTTAAGAAAAATAAAATCTTTTTCCTTGCAGGAAATTATCCAAATTGCGAAAAAAATGTGCATCAGTTGCTTAGATAGGTACTGGCGAATTCGAAGGATGATTTATGGTTTCTAACTGATGGTCTTGTAATGTTACAATGGCTTATTGAGTAGTGCTAGGTTCTCCTTTATTATGGAGTAATAATGGTAAAGATCTAGTGATGAGTCGGTTTTCTTTCTCTGAGAGTTTTGTCATAGTTGTTCAATATTCTTCACAACAGACATCTGCTGTTATTATCACACCTGATCTCAAAAAGTTATAGTGATTTACACCATGATATAACAACCAAACAGTTACCATCACTTTATTATGAGTTTGGTCATTGTTCAGGTGTTTAACATGGGCCAGCCATTGCGTTTTTTACTTGCGATTATCATAGAAAATCCACTTTTCATCACATGTCACAATTCTGTTTAAAATTCCTTCATTTCTGTACCTAATTTTCAAAGCAAAGTCTACATCATCATGTTCCTCTATTCAGATCAGTCTTTTTATTTTATCAAATTGGTGCAAATGAGTCAATGTTGTGGTTCGTCAAACCGTTATACTATTTCCTTGATTATTTAATTATTTTTTAATTAATTATTTCCTTCATCTCTGGTCTCCCTAGTGAAAGTTCCACTATGAAAGTGATTAAGCTAATAAAAGCATAGTGTGTTCATTAGCCGTAACCTCATTTAGGATGTTAAAAATTAATTAGCTAAGATTCGCATAATAAAATAAAATGATGTCTTATCTAGTTTAAAGAGCATCTCATGTTCTCCGTCAATTACTTGCACTATCCCCGTCATCACTAATTCCAACACCACTACCCTAGGAAAGTCATCACCGTTAATAATACGACACGCATATCGCCTCTTAAGTGTGGCATCATTAGATAAAATAGACTACAGTGGTAGACCAGCAAGTCAGTAAAAGTATTCCACAAGAACTGCTCCAGTGTAGTGGACTTCACCTTTACATCAAGATTTTCAAATCTTTTATCAATGCAGATATACTTTTCTCGATGGTTTCATTTTTCGCCAAGCACACGTAAAATTGGAACTTTTTTGGAATTACAAATGGGATCCAAGTTGCTTACTACTTCTCACATATTTGTCATGGGTATAAGGAGACCAAAGGTGGCCACTTGACATTGCAAACTATACTCATAAATTACTTGCAACATCTTTAAAAAGGATTGTCCCTTTTTGAATTAGAAATGTTCTTGAATATAGAAATCGGGCATTATTTGAAAACTGAATTAGAATTAGTGAAATCACAATCCCACAATTCTACATAAAGGGAGACCCTTTATGTAGAATTGTGGGTGTTTTCTCACACTAGGATTTGCTCCTATATTGTGTAGGCATACACATAAATTGCACAAGGACAAGCATGCAGACCCGGAATAGTTATTTGTTGGCCATTTAAATACTTGCCCTGTGAGGTATTCCAACCTTTTAGCAGGGCAACTCAACGCCGAACCATAACGCCATGGCGCCGACAGTAATCAGTTTAAGTGTTTAATAAACCTTAACATTAGTAAAATAAACCTATTAAAATATTATTTGTATCAAACAGCATGTAATAAATCTATTCAGGTTGTTAGTTACACACGTCTGGCTGTTCTACCCCCGGGCTCAGAAATTGACCCGCCATATGCAACTGAGTACGTGCTTAGCTGCGTCAGATTTCCGTCGGATCCTGATGACCGCTTAGAAGCAGTGCGAGCTTTCTCTATGGACACGCTCAACAAGAAGCTACTTCTGAATGTGGAGTCACGCGGCTCTCCACCAGCTGTCACACTTGTTGACATGAATACTAATGTCGACATTGGCAAGGTAACCTCGCAAAAACTTATAATTATTCTTGGATTTACGCCATATGTAATTGAACAAAGATAAAATACACATTGAAATTTTTATTTTGTAATCAACTTTTGTTTACTTTAATGAATTGTTATTATATGCAAACACATTGCTATTGCTGTATTCAAAGTTATGTAGTAATTAATCCCCTGTTTATTATATGTGAATTAGCTCCATCTTTTCACATGAGAAGTTATACAAGGGGAGGTCAAAGTTTGCGGAATGACCGGGAAGGATAATGAAATGAAACATTAAACTATTTTAATTATTTCAGTGTATTCTCACTTAATACACCTAATACATTTACTAGATCTGTCAAATAACTTATTAATACCGTCTAAAAAAAGATTTGTCTTGGGCGTCAAAATAGGCTGAAATTGCCGAGTTCTCTTCATCATCGTCGCCAAATTTTTTCCCACGCTGATCTTTCTTCATTTTTGGAAACAAATAATAGTCGCTTGGGGCCAGATCTAGGCTGTAGGTCTTCAAAACTGCACCGGTGAATGGCCGTCGCAACATGGCTTGTGTGGCCGAGCGCATTGTCGTGCAAAAGGAGCACGCCTTTTCTAAGCTTCCCTCGCCTTTTTCTTTAATAGCTTTTTTTAATTGATCTAGTAAAGAAGCATAGTATTCTCCCGTTATGGAAACACCACGATCCTTATAATTAATCAAAAGGATACCTTCTGTATCCCAAAAGATCATTGCCATGATCTTTCCGGCCAATTGAGACACCTTATACTTCTTAGGAGGGTGTGCCTTTTTTTATGCCACTGCATCGACTCTTGCTTTGACTTAGGTTCATAATGGTGAAACCAACTATCATCGCTAGTTACGGTTTGGGCCATAACTTCTTCCCTTTGCTCTCCACAGTGATCCAAAAACTCGCGACAACTTTCGACGCGCTCGTGTTTTTGATGCGCAGAAAGCATTCTCGGAACCCATCTTGCACAGACTTTAGTCATGCCAAGGTGTTGATGTAGGATGTTTAAAATGCTTGTTTCCGATACTCCAACTAATGCTGCAAGCTGTTTTTTCTTTAGCCGGGCATCTTCCGATACAAGTTTTTTAACTTTTTCGATTACTTCTGGCGTGGTAGCCACAATCGGCCGTCCAGGTCGTCTTCAATGGCGTTTCTCCCTTGTTTGAAAAGGGCGTGCCATTTATAAATCATGGTTTTCCCAGGAGCGGAGTCCCCATATACAGCTGGCATCTCATGAAAAATGGTTTCAGGTGTCTTTCCTTGTTTGGTAAGAAACTTAATGACGGCGGGATATTCAATTTTCTCCATAGTAGTGGCTACTTTCTTCCCGATTGAATTGTTTACTCGTTGATAACTCAAAAGTTAATGACCCGATTAGGCTGAAACTTGATACATATACTAACAATGAGTCACTCAGCTAGCGCCCACCTGGATGAGTAAACTCACCTTTGCTAACCCTGCTATTCTGCGAATTTTTTGACCTACCCTCGTATTAAGCTTAAATAAGTGAGAAAAACATGAACATGAAACAAAAACTTACAATTTTAAAATTAAAAATCATAATCATCCATAATAAATATACTGGCTAATTTTTAATGGCTGTCTGCCATTCCAAAAAAATATTAAAATGACTTAAACAAGCCAATCACACACTTTCATTCATTTTAAATAATTGTTTACCATTAGTTACATATTACTTCATTTCCTGTTAATATTGTTTATGTATTATCAAGAAAGTTAACAACAAACAAGAAACATTAGAAATAACATAAAAACAGCTCATCCAGTCAATCTGTCGGTAATTGATTTGTTCGCAACATTTCAAAGAGCTTTCGCGACAAACTGCGACTGTTTTCCCATAGATTATTTATGTGCTTGACAATTGACATTGGCAGCATGAACATAATCATTAAATGATTTATAAATTAAATTTATTACATTTTGTAACAAATATTATATCTAAATTTTACCGGTGTGCATTTCTCAAAATAAACATTAATAATTCCAAATCTAACAATCCTACGTGCGCGCAATATGCTTCCAAAGAGTTACATACTTTTCTCTTCTATAATATAATATAATATATATATAAATAAGTCCTGCACTATGAGGTATTAGGATGAATAAAAAAATGGATGCCCTATTAAATTGCAGAACCTAATCAAAGAGGGTCTGGTGCTGATGGAGAACACTCGCGAGCAGCGGCTCGCCGGACTGGTGAGCGAGTACCGCGCGGCGCAGGAGCACGCCAAGAGCTCGCGGCTGAACCTGTGGCGGCATGGCGACATCACCGAGGACGACGCGGTCGAGTTCGGCGCGCGTCGCTAGCGCACGCTGCCCTGGTACGATGCTACCGCCTCGCCCTCGCACACGCTCAACTGTGCCACGTGCACGGCGCCGCACATCGAAACCATTATACACACCATCATATACGAGTTTCTGTAAAGGCATCAGTATACGTACCGCAGTACAACGTTCCACTCCCCTAACTACTCCGTTACTGCCGTTAATTGTTCTGTCGATCATTCAGTTTAATGTTATGAATATTAGAAACTTTTTAAAGTGGATTTACCCTCATAGTTTTATAACACGCAATCGTGTGGGTATTTGTTATATGCTGTTATATGAAAATATAGATATATTTAAAATAACAATCATATTTTTGTCAGCATTTGACACCTACGTCTTATCTACATAATAATATATATATATATATATATATGTCTTGTGAAAAAAAAAAGTTATTTACATATTTTTATATTTCTGCAATGGTAGAATAAATAGTAATAAATATAAATTGAGTGTATTATGTAATAAAAATAAATGTAAAGACATTTTACCTGCTATTTGCATAATAATTTATTTGCGGACTTTTAATACTTTGAATCATGTATATTGGATAAACAACATAACCTGTATTTCTTTTTATATTTTCTACATACTTTTCTTTTTTATGTACATCCTTTCGCTCAGAATGCATATTTTGTACTTCTTTCAAGATATTCATTTTGACATAATAGTGATAACTAATGTGTAATAAATTAATAATAACTAGGTGTGTTTTATCTAAATTATAATTGTGCCTCGTGACTGATTTTTGTGAATGAAGTTACTTTTTTACATAATTATTTATATAAATTAATGAATGAGTGTTCTATCCTTTTTAATACATATTTTAATCTCGTATTTCGTACTTACAAGTTATGTGTACGATGAACCTACCTCTCTCCTGAGATGTTAAGATATAAATTTTGTTTTACGTACACTATAGTACCACACGGTGCGTGGATTGTTAATTGAACTTGGTATATTGAAATAAATATTTTAGGAATTATTTTTTTTTTTATTATCTCTATATATTTAAAAGTCCATTACTGTGCGTTTGTCTTGCTAAAACTCGATAATGGCTCGACTGATTTTGATGTTGATGTTTTTTGTGTATGTTTGAGTGAGTCCCGGTAGGTGGCGCTGTTGTCGAGATCCAGAAATCGTCCGAAGCCGGGGCGGATAGCTAATCGTATATAAAAGCGTTATTATATAATATTCATAATCATTTATTATATAATAAATTATTAAGAAGTGTTTATGGAGAATGGAAATATCAGCATATCTAATCAAACGTACAGTAATGAAATTACCTTAGCTACGTATTATGTAAAATTTAACATAATATTTAAATATAGCGAAGCAACTTTTGTTTTGTTAGGAATAAAACCTAGACAAAAAAGTTTTTTTTTTCCTGTGATATAGCGAGGGGAGGGGGGGATTGGATGGTAGAGACGCCTTGTTCTGGGTGCTCGACATTTTAAAGAGCGGTAATTTGAAGAAAAATAGCCCTTACTGAATGCTTACAATTAAAATATAATTTTAATAAACAAAGTAATAGTAGTTGAAAGAGAAATATTTTTGAAAGCACATGTAATAATCGAAAATTAAAATATTAACTTTTTAATTTTCGATTATTATACTAATTTTATGCCATTATTATGTTAATTTTCGATTAATATGCTTTCGCGTAATCTATACAAATAATAAAATTGAAGTGTCTGTTTGTAATGTCAAAATTATAGTTTTTTTTACTAAATGCATATGAAAGCAAATACTTATAAGTAAAATACAATTTTTTAAATTTTTGTCTGTCTGTCTGTCTGTTTGTTCCGGCTAATCTCCGTAACGGCTGGACCGATTTTGACGGGATTTTCACTGGCATGTAGCCGATTTCATAAGGAATAACTTAGGTTACTTAGGCTACTTTTATTTTAGAAAAAGAATTAGGATTCCGCGCAAAAACATAAAAACCCTAACACGCGAGTGAAGTCGCGGGGAACAGCTAGTATAATAATATGATTACAATCATAATATCATATTACGCGGGTGACTACTCTGATCCCCCTGAAATAAAACTTGCAAGCTATGGCAGATTAAAACGTTGGCATGTTTAGCAACCTCGATAAGATTTAAACCTATGTAGGTGTTTAGGCCTTATCGGGACTTTGGAAATAAAATGAATGGACTGTATTTACAATAGGTTTAATGCCGTAAAACATCTAAAGCAGGGGTCAGCAACCTTTTGAGTCGGAAGAGTCAAAAATTACAATTTACAAAATTTCAAAGTTTTTAAAGAGCCACAATTTTTTTTCTTGCCAACTATAAATATAACTTGCATAAATAATGTTTTTTGATAAAAAAACTAATCTATTTATTCATAAGAAAAATATATATTTATTCATATATAAATAGTGCTTTTCATAATAAATTAGAACCTAATTTCTATTATTATCTATATATGGTATTATTAGATAATCACATTATGTAAGTAAAAAATTACAACAATTAAAAATTTATTTACATAGTAAGTCTTACAACACTAACTTGTACTTCGATAACAAACAATTGAGCAAACAAATTCAATGGGAGCTTTGGCTTTGTATGGTTATTCAAGTTGAAAATTTAAACTTTACTAAACAATGTAACTTTTACTTAAAAAAAAAAAAAAAAACAATGACATACATTAAGGAGCCAAGGAGCGTTGGCTTTGCATAGTTTTAGAAAGTTTGGATAAATTTGGCTCATAACTTGTTGTTTTAAGTTTCAAACACGACTCTGAATTTTCATTTGTTAGTTGGCTTCTTACTTTACTTTTAATTATATACATTTATGCAAGAGAACGCTTGCTCGCACGAATATGTCGATTCGAAGATAGTCAGCACCCCAAATGCCAACTTCTTCACCTCACTGTAGCAATCGAGAAGACTATTCCATGCGTTGAATATAAGTACCGCAACTCGCGGCATTTCTTTTAAAGCTGTTCATTTTTGTTGCGCTACGTACATACATTTCTGGACCATCAACTCTTTTCAACTTGCTTTTCAACTCTGTAAATTTTCAACTCCACAAAGCTTTACTTTTTAAATCGATCAATTGCATTTCTAGAGATCCAGTATCAACTCAGAATGGCTCAGTGTGGATAGGTTTTTATTTTAAATAAATAATATTTGCGTATGAAACTAAAGAGCCGCAGCTTCACATCCAAAGAGCCGCATGTGGCTCGCGAGCCGCAGGTGCCGACCCCTGCTCTAAACAAACATAATATAAATTGAAAAATGAAGTGCCCGTCTGCTACTGCGTCTCGCAGCTGAGTGAGGGACGGAAGCGCCCGCGCTGTCGTGGGGGCAGCGACCGGTCCGCGCCACCACGCGTCCTCCATTTTGGCCGAGGCGCGAAGACGTGCGCCGACATATTCCCCGGGTTGAAGAGACGTCTTCAATTGGCAGAGGGCAGATGCAGTTGACAGCACGACGAATGATGCCTGGCTTCGTCTTCAACTCAGCCACTCGCGTGACTCTACGTCTACGTCTACGCCGGGATAATTCGTCATGACCCGGCCCAGGGACCAGAGCAACGGTGGTGTTGTCTTGTCCTGGATAAGAACTAAAGGCCCCGGCTTCACTTCACCTCTGGAATGAAACCACTTTGATTTGGCCTGCAGCAGAGAGATGTACTCGTTATGAAAGCGGCTCCAGAAATGCTGTCTGATGTACTGTATTCTCCTCCAGCGATCCAGTCGCGTGACGTTGGCATCAGTCACCTGGGAATGTGGTACAGATAAGAGTGGTCGTCCAATCAGGAAATGAGAGGGAGTAAGTGCCCAAAAATCGTTAGGGTCTGAAAAGAGAGGAGTAAGAGGTCGCGAATTCAAGACCGCCTCTATATGCGTAAGACTAGTAGCCATCTCCTCAAAGGTAAAATGGGTAAGCTTTAAGAGTCTTTTTAACCGGTTCAGTGCGGATGACATGCCAGACGTGCAATCGATTACTTTGGTGTGTGGCGTATGACACGCAAGTTGTGTCTTTTTAAAAATCGTTATAACACGCTCAAATTGCGTTTTTGGAAAATTTATCCAGAACAAAATATTCATTATTTTGTTGCCTGTAGCTTCGTTTCTGGATATTTTGAAAATTTGAAATTTTTAGGGGTTGACAACCTGTTTTTAACTTGTACATTCTCTTTTTTGTGCACTCTTTTTACTTTGTGGGTTTTCAATCATGTTGTGGAAAAAGAGTCTAATAAGTAACAAATAATAGCACTCATTGCGATCGCTCACAAACTCAAGTTATAAATAAAGAACATCGCTCAAATACGACCTGACCAAAATATGAAACGACCACCAATGATTGATACGTCAAAAAATAGTTACTTATTTGTATATTAAATTACGGGTTCCAGCTTATTTTATTGGAGCCGGTAAAATAATTTAGCTTTGTAATAAAAACATAATTTCCTTACTACGTTTTATAGGTTTTGAACGCATCTAAACCCGTCCCGTTTTTATCTGTCGTACACGTTTTATCATAACACTAAAGTAATACTGCCATTATGCGTTTACTTTTTTTAAATACTAGATTTTATTGTAGGTTTTTTTTTTTAGTGTATCCATATCCCCCACTAAAAATGATGTTATTGATACATCATTTTTAGTGGGGGATATGGATTTAGTATTCCGAAATGAGTTGCAAATGATAGGTTTAGTAAAAGTAGGAAATTTTAATTTAATAAAAAGCAAGATTTTCCGGGGTGATTTAGCTGTACCTAAACTTATATAAATGAATTTTTTATAAAACAATAAATAGTACAAAATGTTTGTAATCTCTGCATAAAAAAGTCACTCTCAATTTCAAAGAAAACACGTAGAAAAACACGTAGTTACTCACTAAAAACAAGTATCCTTCCGTTTGTAACTGATGTTTGATGTTAACTAAACTTAATTAGGTCTAAACAAGTGTAAAAACCATAAAAAAGATAATTATTTTTCCACATGGCTGATGCCA